GACGCTGCAAAGGAAGGACAAGGAAAAATGTGTCAGGAATATTTCTCAGTAGATAACCATAATATTACCAACCAAGCCCCGAGAAATCTAAATTCAAAGCCCTCTTCACGGACAACCACAGTTCGTTCAGCTGGTGCAAAGACCACCTCAGATCATGTTGGGGCGCAGGAGCGTTGAGTTTGAGTAGTTTGAGCAGTTGTACCAGGTTGAGCAACCGACACTTAGTATGAACAAGGGTATGTCGTGATCCCAATGCCAGATCCTGCCACCAGCGAGTAACCTCCTACCCTGGCAACCGTTAGGTAAACGATCTCTAAGCTGAAAGGTGGTAAAACAGCAAGCATTAGCAGCTGGTCTGGTGGTGGATCCATGTCCCTTAGACTGTACAAGACAGTGTCATCTAACAGTCTGGTACTATTCCCCTTCACTTGCTGAGGGAATGGGTATCTCTCTTTGGAAGGGGAAAGGGGATATCTGGGATTGCAACAACCGCTGATTTATTGCACTGCTCAGTTTATTAGGCAAGGTGCTTGCTCTTATCCTTTCGAGACGTATCGGAAACCACTTGTGCTCCGAAGACTGGAGCAAGCTAGATTCGCTTCAGGCAAATCCACAACAGACCGTATCCTCGTGTTTCGAGTGTGTTGTCAGGAGTTTAGTACTAGTTGTTCAGAACCTACATTGATCTCAAGAAAGCACTCAACACAGGGCATTGTGAAATATTAAAGATGCAAAGATTATTAGATGAATAGCTATATACTGGTTCTAAGACTATTGCCATGCATGGTGGGGCATGTCTGTGAATTCAAGAGTGATGCAAGAGCTTGTTCTTGCACTAATTCTTTACACGGCCATGGACTGGATAATGGGAACAATTATCATTCATTATCAATGCTGAGTAACACTGGACACAATCAGTCACTAACCTTGGCTCTGGTTGTGTTACCATCTTATCCGAGTCTTTGGAGACTTTATGTGAGTAATAATGACACGAGAAAAAAATGTGCTGGGCTTTGGAGACTTTAGAACCGGCTCTCAATGCACTAAGTTCATGGACTAAGTTCCATGGCCACTAAGGAGAACCTGTTTAGTTGGTATGGACTAAATTCATTTAGCAGTGTGGCAAAGCCCGTGGATCTAGATTTCTTGGACTAAGTTCATGGACTAAGTTCCATGGCCACTAAGGAGAACCTGTTTAGTTGGTATGTGCTTGAGGCGATGACTGTAACCCAGCTATATCTGTATCCTATCACAGAATTATATATACTTGAATCTCTTGCTGTATTCTGCATAATTTTCTAATCTTATGTATGTCACATGCACATCTTCATTCACACGCACATACATATGCATGTACGCATGATCATTTACCGATTAATTTATCTATTCTTGTCACCCAAGACATTTCAATATCGTGTTGTCAGTCCCCTTCCGCAAGAGAAATATATTGTTGTAATAGTACCTTTCTTCATCACCGGTTGTCACATACCAAATACGTGATTCATTTCCATGCGGGTTGACAATGAGCAACACCTTACTCTAGGAGGAACAGCCTCACTCATATATCATTAAGCCTTTAATAAAGGAATCAAGATCTTGCTTATCTTAGCTCAACATCCTCTAATCTCTTGTAGGGTCCATCTCTTGGGCGCTTACACGGAAATCAAAGTAACAGAACGTTACATTACCTGTTCGTGTAGTTCATGCCTCCGAGATGGCAGACCAAGAAGTCAGCAGACAGACTGTACTGCTAGAAGAAAGCACAATATCCATGCCTCCCTTCCATCTCATTTTAATGCCTAAACACTTATTTAAAATATTTTCTGGGCTTTATGTTCATGTCGAGATTGGGCATTCTGCACATTTAGCCTGTAGTTCATGCCTCCGAGATGGCAGACCAAGAAGTCAGCAGACAGACTGTACTGCTAGAAGAAAGCACAATATCCATGCCTCCCTTCCATCTCATTTTAATGCCTAAACACTTATTTAAAATATTTTCTGGGCTTTATGTTCATTTCTCTGATGATATTGTAAATATGTTATTAGGATTAATTCTCTACTTCAGGTTGTAAAAAAATATTTTTTTCAGATGTTCCTGTTATTTATATGAATTTTTCTATGGTTTGGACCTATCAGAATGGAAAACCACTACTTTGCTGATCTAATGGGAGGAAGACCCACAATGCAATATTTATATTGAATATGAAAAGGTGGACTATTTCCTATTAATCTCTCTTCAGTTTGAGCAAAATAAAAATATGTATACTTTTTATCATCTTCAGTAACTGATTTTATCAGACACAATCATATTCCTTGAAGGATGAAAGAGAACATATAATCCATGGTTAATGGTTAAAAACAAAATAAATGTGCTAGACATCTAAGGTCATATAGCACTATAGAAAAGTATATTAAAGGAGTGAAGGGTGATCGTTGCTGTGTCAACTATCTAGAGTACTATAATCCACACATAACTAGCAAACTAAAATTTTCACCACGACCAATCAATGACTTTTTTCATTACATGCCTAAATCTTCTTTATTCACTTTTCATCTTTGGCCTTCCAAAAATTTATCATTTAAAGGATTTGCCTTGACAATGAAAGAATTTATACTATTAAAGCTTATTTATTTCACACAATGATTACAAGGGAATCCATTATAAGAAAAATTCTAGGGAAAAGATAAGAGAAATTCCCTATCTTCTCATGGAAAAAATAGTTTCACAATGCAGATACAATAGAGGGATAATGAAAGCACCTATCAACTCCAACCACCACTTAATGTTTATTTTATTGATCTCCACCAAACCATGACACTCAATCTATTCCTTTTGTTTTGACTTGTACAAATATGTGTTCAATGGACAAATGTCAATATATGGTTGGGCAGTGGATTAAACCTGATAATTTTTCTCGAGTGACAGAAAAATGGACGACACAAAAAGATTACTTGTGTGACCCTTTTCTCTTTAGACTCTAGATATTGGACATCTACTTAGTGCTTCATCTTTCGTTTCTTCAATATGGAGTATGAACAGACAATTTTATTTTCAAAATCGAAAGCTACTGCAGATATGGAGATATTTCTGGCTATACAACGATGACTACCATAAAGTTATGCACATATTCAAGATTCTTTCTGCATTTTTAAATACAAATATCTCTTTAAGAATGGTCTATGCAGTCTGTGTTACACAAATAACTGCTTTCAGTTCTTCCATTAAAACTGCAGGTACTCTTAAATTTCTTACTACAGATGACATATTTAGGCCGGTTGGGTTTTAAAACTATGGACATACAGTATATTATGCTACTCTAAATATATATTGCTAACCTTCATATAGAAATTACATTTGCTCATAAATTACTAGTGTTATCTATTAATGTATTTTAGTACACAAAAATGTTCCCATTTAACATATAATCACATGCACAAGTTTCAAACATACTACCAACAGTAAACCAACATACATGCATACATACATACATACACACACACACGCACACGCACACACACACACACACACACACACACACACACACACACACACACACACACACACACACACACACACACACACACACACACACACACACACACACACACACACACACACACACACACAAATCACANAGAAGAATCCGTGGAGCTTCCTTCCCTCTGTAGGACACCTCTAAGCCCGACGTCCCTCCTCGGAGATGAGGAAGTCAAGGAGCATCACTCGTCCTCTAGTTGCCTCCGCCTCCACTCGAGAGCTCATCCTCACCTCGAGATTTAGAGGGTGTTTGTGTTCGTGTGAACGGAGTCTCAGCGGCCCTAAGTGTCCGGACGTGCCTTTCTGGACCTCTCTTTTCCTTGCTTCCCCTCCTCCTCCTCTTCCCTCCTCCGTCCCCTCTACCCCTTCCTCCTCCTTCCCCTCTATCTCTCCTCCTCTCCTCTTGTCTCTTCCTCCTCCTCCTCCTTCCCCTCTGTCCTCTTTCTCTCCTTCCTCCTCCTTCCTCTGTCACTTCTTCCTCCTCCTCCTTGCCCTCTGTCTCTTCCTCCTCCTCCTGCCTCTCTGTCTCTTCCTCCTCCTCCTTCTCCTTCCCTCCCCTCTGCCTCTGTCCTCTTCCCTCCCTTTCCCCTCTGTCCTCTTCCCTCCTCCTTCCCTTTCTGCCTCTTCCTCCTCCTCCTTCTCCCCCTCTGCCTCCTTTTTCTTCCTTCTTCTTTCTCCTCTACCTCTTCCTCTTCTTCCTCACCCTGCTTCTTCTCCTCCTTCGTTGTCCACCATCTCTCCTCTTTCTCCTCTTCCTCCATTTCCTCCTTCTCCTTCGTCGCCTACCATCCCTCCTCCGCCCATCTCCTATTCTCATCCCTTTCCTCCTCTTCCTCCTTCATTGTCCACTATCTGTCCTCTTTCTCCTCCTCTTCCTCCTTCGTTGTTCACTGCCTCTCCTCTTTCTCCTCCTCCTCCATTTCCTCCTGTTCTTTCGTTGCCGATTATCTCCTACTTCCTCCTTCTCCTCCTTTCTCACCCACTATCTCTCCTCTCCCGTTTCTTCTATTTCCTCTTTCTCGTCCTTTTCTTTCTCCTTCATCGCCCACTATCTTCTATTTCTCCTCCTCCACTTCCTCCTTCCTCCTCCTTCGTCGCCCACTATGTCTCCTCATCCTTCTCCTTCTCTTCTTCCTCCTTCGTCATCCACTCTCCCTCTTCCTCCTTCTTCTACTATCCCATCCTTGCTTCTCTCGTTTCTTCTATTTTTGTCTCTTTCCCCTCCTCCTTGCTATTTCTTCCTTCTCCTTTCGCTTTTTTTCTACTACTGTTCCTTATGTTCTTTTTCTCCTGTTGCTATCTATCCTTCTGTTCTCTCCCTCTTCCTTCTCCTCTTCGTCGTATGTTTAGCTATTCTTCTCCTTCTCTCTCACTTTCTTCTAATTTTTCAATTCCTCCTTATCCTATTCTTTCTCTTCTTCCTTGCTTCCCCTCTCATTATCTTTCTTTCCTCCTCCTCTTC